AGACTAGTGAACTTCATACAACACAATACGTTCTAGCTAGCTGAAAACAAAAAAAAAGTACTTTTAGAGTTCTAAACCCTAACAGTAAATTCTGTTTCACAATCACTCTCCTGTTGCACCAAGTAAGACACACTTTGTAACAGTGACAATATACCCATGTCTGTGAATACTTGTGTGTTGACTGTGGCTCAGTTAGGAGCACACTTGCTTTGGAAATGAAAAATGCTAAATTCAAGACTCAGTCTAAAGCTTGAGCACAGAAATTATACCTTATATTCCAGTATGTTACTGAGAAAGCATTATATTGTCAGAGGTGTCATCTTTTGAATGAAATATAAACTGAGATATTATCTGCTTTGATGGATGTAAGATATCCCATCACACTGTTTCGAAGGGGAGTTAAGTGCAGCGCTGACATTGATGTTCGGCTCTTAAGTAACATCACACAAAAAACTATGATCTATTCATTATCAGATTGGTGTTTGTGTTTGATATCTCCCCTTACCCTGTCCCATCTTCCCATCCAACATGGCAAAGGCGAAACCTGTGCCCGTGCGATTTAAAATGGTACATAATACACATGTGTCAGTGTCGCCAAACTCAGCCTTCCAAAAACACTAAATTATCAAGGGGCTAAAGGGGAAAGGAAATAAACACAATAACTACCATTTGAGAAAAAATACAAGGGAAACTAATGGGTTGCATCCTAGGATTTTAAAGAAAGGTAATGTTCTTGGTAGCAATCTTCCAAACGTCCAAGGTAACACCCTTGTTCAAAAATTCGGGAGACAAAAAAAAAGTAACTATAAGCTAGTCAGTTTAACATCAATCATTGGGAAAATTGTAAAGGATGTAATAGCAGAGCTCATAGTATTGTAGGTGGTGTATCAACATGGACAGAGGATTGGATACCTAATAGAGAACAGAGTTGGGAGAAAGGGGACATTTTCAGAATGGCAACCTGTAACTGGTGGAGTGCCGCAGGGATCAGAGCTGGGGTCACAATTATTAGATGTTGGAAGTATATGTACAATCGCCAAGTTTGCAGATGATACAAATATAGGTGGAAATACTGATGTTGCCACAAGAAGTCTATAGAAGGATATGGGCAGGGCAAAAAAACTTGGCAGATGGAAAATAAGATGATATGAGGCTAGGCACTTTGGCAGTAGAATAGAACAGCTGAGTATTAGTTAGATGGGGAAAAGACTGAATGACCCTGAAACACCAAAAAGGTAGCATCCAAGCTTAGCAAGTAATAAGGAAAAAATGTAATCTTGGCCTTTATTTCAAAGGGAATAGAGTATAAAAATAGAGAGGGCTAAAACTTTACAAGGCATAGTTAGACCACACCTGGATACTACAAACAGTTTAGCCCTCTTATCTAAGGGAAGATATACTGGCAGTGGAGAAATCCAGAGAAGATTGATTAAGTTGACAAAGGGAATGCAGGGAATGTTTTTCTACAAGGAGAAGTCAGGCTTATACTCATTATAATTTAGAAGAATAAGAGGAGACCTTATTGAAGTATATTATCCTTAGGGGTCTTGACAGGAGTGGTCCAGAGAGGTTATTTCCCCTTCTGGGGGAACCTCAGACCAGAGGGCATACCTTGTAAGGAGCTGCACATTTAAGACAGAGATGAGGAGGATTATTTTTTTCTCTCTCAGAGTGGTGAATCTGTACAATTCTTTACTGCAGAGGGCTGTTGAGGCTGGGTCATTAAATATATTCAAAACTGACATAGATTTTAAATCAGTAGGAGAATCAAAGATTATGGAGCAAAGGCAGAAAAATGGAGTTGAAGATTATCAGATTTCAGAGTGCGGTTTTAAAATATACTTCTCTGAATTCTCAGTCAGGAGAAATGTTCTTCTCAACTCATATCCAAAAAAGAATGCCTTCCAATGCTCTAGCAATGTAACACCCTTGACTCTGTCAAATTTTTAACCACGAGTTAAATAATTAGTCTCTTTCATTGATTTTAGCTGAAGAATAAATATGGACCAAGACAGCAGGAAAACTCGAGATCTATGAATACAGCATTGTAATTTTTATGTGCACCTAAGAGAACCGACAGGACCTTAGTTTAACGTGTCATCTAAATGACCATGTACCTGAACATGGAGCACTCCATACTGCAAGATTGGATTGCATGCTCAAAGATCTGAAGTGAGGTTTGAATATGCAACCTTTTGATTCAAAGGTGTACACATTACAACTCAGTCAAGTCTCACACCTGCAAGGGATTACACAGAAACTTTCTTAACAGACTACGCAATAGGAATCAACCAATTTGAATAGTGCTCCTGTTAATTTTCATAAATGCTAAATTTGTGCCAAAATTTAGAAGAATAATTTCATCTATATCACTTAATACCTTCAAATATGTTTTTGATTATATACAAATGAGAAACAGCAGCATAAAAATATGGATCTACCACTGATTGTTCCCTCTGACGTGCCATGGAAGTAGCACTCTGCCCTAATAATTAAATGCCAGCCATGAAATAAAATGTGACATAACAAAATGTCACTATTTCATGACCTTGACAAACAAAATTGCCATTCCGAAAATCATTCTCCTACTGTCAGGTACCAGTGATTAAAAATACAAATTAAAACAAAATACTGCGGTTGATGAAAATCTGAAACAAACACACAGAATGCTGGAGAAACTCAGCAGACCTGGCAACATCTGTGGAGACAGAAACAAAGTTAATGTCCAGGAAGACTCTTCTTCAAAAGAAACACATCCTCCATGCTCACGTTGACTAAAAATTCACTTGATCTGCTTTGATCACTCAGTCTAATGCAAGTTTTATTTATATCTTACTTAGTTTACAGTGAGCACAACGTGGATGGCTTCAGCAACAGGTGAATTGAGGTAGGGGAGGAGTCAGGCAACGTTATAATAATGAAAATAAACAGTCTTAGTTAAAACAGGAAGCTCATCTCAGAACTAAGTGTGGCAACAGCTGCAAACATTCTGATTCAACCCCAAATGATTGCCAAGGTCAGGGACGGAGAAGGTAGCTAGGGAACAAAATTTGTAGCAGCCACTGAATACGATAACTTTGGTCTTCACAATGTTTAACCAGAGGAAATTTCCCTTCATCCTGTTCTGGATGTCAGATAAGCAATCTGATGAATCAGCGAGAGTGGAGAAGTTGAGGGGTATGCTGGTATGATTAGAGGAAGGGCAGCAAATTGATGATGTTACTAGACTAGTGATCCAGGGCATGGTTAAATAAATCCAGGGACACTAGTTTCAATCACACCATGATAACTGAGAAACTTAATAACATCAATTAACTAATCTGGAATAAACTGCCAATCTCAATAATGATGATCATAAATTACTGAATCATTGTAAAAACACAACTACAACATCTATCACATGCAAATTCCTCTGTAAAATCACTTCGTTCTGACTTAGAACCGTAAAGCCATTTTTTCACTGTAGCTAGGTAAATTCCTGAAACTCCCACCTAAACAGGACTGTCGGGGAACACACACAACAGTATCCAGCATTTCAAAAAGATCGCTCAGTTGGACCTTCCTAAGGCAATTGAGGATGGACAACATCAGCAACATTCAAATCTTTCCAAATTAAAATAAAGCTTGATGCCAGCTGTGTACATGTGAAACTAACGTTGTATTTGAATGATATTGCTGAGAAGCAACAGTTAGATGTGAAATAGAAGGGGACCCAAGGTTAGTTTCATGGACACGAGAAGAATTAATGGTACAACAGCAAGAAGAAAAGCCTTGCCAGTTATAATTACGAATGGAATATGACAATTACTGCCGAACTACAATGGAGAGTCACTGGAAAAGGATAATGTAGTCAACCATTTTGAAAGCTTCTGACAAGATGGGCTGAACGGCTACTGTTGTACTATATGATTCGAAAATGAGTAGGATGTTGAGTAGTTGTTTACCACTATTGGAGAGATATAGGATGATAAATGTGATTTTGATAAGAGCTATGCTGTACTGCGGTAAGGACGGATAACTGATTGGAGTTAATATCGAGAATGAAAATCACATGCCAACAGAAAATTTAGAAGACATGACTGAAACCTTGAGCCAAGAGATTTGGTTAAAGGAAAAAAGAGCCAGAGAAAGCTGGGCTCAGGCATCATAAAGCTTAATGAATGATGATTGATTGTCACTTGTACTCTAGAATGAACAAAACAATAAAATTAGTGAAAAGCTTCAACTGTCACCACAATCTGATGCCATTTTGAATAGTTTAAGAATAAAAAGAATAAAAAGAATAAAAAAGATAACGCTGAAAGAAACTCCACCTTCAGTCCGCTGCCTTCGCCATCGGTCCTGAGCTGGCTCACCAACAACACCTGTGCTGCCACACCTTCGCCAGTTGCACTGGACCCACTGTCAGAGTAACATTCTTCACGCAATATGTCTTTGTCACTACGCCCACCTCACTGATGGGGCGCCAATGCCAGGCTCACAATCACACGGCAACCTGGAGCCAGTGTCTCACCAATAATCAGGAGTCCTCGCTCCAGGCCTCCAGACAGCCCTGGTTCCACAACTGCCGCTGCTTCAATGACACCTGGAGAACCTGCTCCGAGCACAGTCCACACCGCTGCTGCCTAGCCAATGGCTGCAGGCCCCATTCCAGGCATACCACAACCTCCTACTTGACGTTATCTTCTCTGCTGCTACTGACAGGAAGATGAAGAAGAAAAATAAAATAAAGGAGAGAAGACAAAAAAGAGAGAAGGTCCAGGAGCCCGAACACTGCTTACTGTGCTGGCGCCGCTATCTTGAATCTGTCCCACTATTAGTGAGGAGAAGGGACAAACAATTTAAGTTTGTTGCAAATCTCTTAGAATCCCTACATTGCAGAATGAGGCCATTTGGCCCTTTGAGTGTGCACAGACACCCCAAAGAGCAATCTGCTCAGAACCAGCCCACCACCCTATCCCTATCTCCATACATTACCACTGCGCCACAATAGCGCCCCCAAAAAAATGGAACGTTTCTCAAATTAGTAAGCCATCCTTGCGCAGTAGCCATGCTAATATTCTCTGTGTTGTTCCAACATTAGTATATGTCATGCTGCCACAGCTCTTTATATACAGTTATGCTGCACTTTTTTATTGTTCAGAATTGAATTTATTTAAAACTTCTAGGTGTCTTCCAAGTGTCATTCTTAATTATTTCAACACCATTCATAGAGTAATACTGTCATTTTTACCAGAGAAAAAGGTATCATGCAGCTTTGGATCATTGAAACTGTACATACAAAAGATATTAATTATTGCTATATTCCTATTTGCCTTCCAGCAAGTGTGGGATTTCTCTACTCAGGTTTGTGCCATCCTATACAAGCATCTAAATCTTCTTTCTAATACCAGGAATTTTCTCCTTCAAAGTGATGCAAATGACAAGCATGCTTTACTCTGTGATGGGAATGTGGAATGCGGAGAAGGTGGGAAAGCTTTGGCAAGTTAATTGAAAAGGTGATGCAAAGATCTTCCACTGTCAATTCTGGTAACACAATTCTGAAACTTCGCAGTTGGGTGTTGTAGCTGTGCAGTAGGTGATGTTTTCATCACCATCTAGATTTATTCTTATAAACCAATTGAAATGTAGGTTTTACTGACATTGACTGTGCAGAGTTTTGCCAAGTTATAATTTTTTTTACATATTAGATGTAGTATTTTATAACATTACATTAAGCAAACGACCTAGAATTGTATGATCGGAAACATTAATTAACTACTTAAAGAGAAACTGGACAACAATGCAGCTGTTCAATTTTACATACAACAGCAACTTTGAATAGTGGTAAGGACCCCAGGATTGATCACCTATTAAAAGACATTTTGAGAAAATATCTTACAACAGCAAAAGAGATAGTCTGCCTCCTTTGGCTTCAGTCAGCCATTTCTGATAGGAATATCCACTTGGAGTTTTATTTAATAAGGGAAGACATATGTTCCAGCATAGACACGTCGGCAATAGAGGCTCCCATATCAAAAAGGAAGACATTTCAGTCAGAAGTGCAACCATGGATTGTTCAACCACATCTCAACTGGATATCTCAGAGGGGGAGAGACATACAGAGAGAGTTGTCTTTCTCTTTGTTTTGTGCTGTATGGCAGTCATAGACATCAAACTGGGGCATGTAATCATGAGATGCTGGAGCAGCAGAACTTGTTTAGAAATAGCTAGCTTGCAAGTGCAACTTCATATAGAACAGCAACACTTGTGTTCTAATTGATTTCCATGGAACAAAGAATAATTGCCAGATTTCAACTGAGTGTGCTGTATTCTACTAATTTCTATATTTTGTTAGTTTATAATTAGGCCTCATTTAACCAGTGGTTTTCACAGTGCCTTCCTTGAGGGTCAGCATATGTAATGGAAAATGCAAAGTGCGATAGCCAGCACATCCAAAGCTATGTTACAATTCCTGGGTTATAGCATTAACCAAGCAGTAAAAGCGTAGTCTCAATTGTGTGGCTTTGCAGTGACACAAAAGTCTTCAACAGGCCACACATAAGACAGCACCTTTAAACTACTGTACTTTTATAGATACTCAACTTAAAAGGGCTGCAGGCTTAAATTATTCACGCACTCCAAAACAAATGAAGGAAATGTTGGATGCAAGGTCCTTATAAAGGAGGAGCCATTTCTACCAAACCTGACAATATTTGGTAAAGAACCATAAAACTTCAGCAGTTTTACTTCAAGCATGCAGGGCTGAAACACTGAGAAAATATTTCCACTCATGTTCCATAATGGAAACAACACAAACCTCCAAGTCACACACCATCTTGGAACAATATCACTATTCCTTTACTATCACTGGGTCAAAATCCTGGAACTTCTTTCCAAACAGCATCATGGATACTATCTACATCCCAAGGACTGCAACTGTTCAGGAAGAAAGCTTACCACCATCTTCTCCAGAGCAATTAAGGATGGACAACAACTGCTGGCCCAGCCATTGATGCCCACATCCCATGAACAATTTCTTTCAAATCCCTGGGCTAATTTTTGGTTATTTCTTGATATTAAAATAATCAGTGAAAACTTAATAGTTTTTCTCTAAATTTAACCAGATCCGTCTCCACTTTTTTTTTTATTTCTCTATCTTTCCATTAATAACACAAGTTTAGCATTTTTTGAATTGCTAATAACAACTGATTTTAATCTGCTGATTTACCTGCACAAAGTACATTTCACATCTTCACTTTGCCCCTTCTGACAGGTTACCGTGAAAGACTGGTTGGAACTATCTTACTCATTTAAAGAATAATACCTTTTAAGTGGGTGACATGCTGCACGTTACAAAATTCACACAACACATATGAAGTCCAATAATTAAATGTCTAAAAAGAACTGGATAGAACTTATAAAGAAATAAGTATAAAATAATGATCATCTCTTTCCTTTTTAAGGGGAACAAAAATATCTTTAAATAAAAACGGAAAGAATTGCAGATGCTGTGAATCAGGAACAAAAATCAAAGTTGCTGGAAAAGCTCAGCAGGTCTGGCAGAATCTGTGAAGGAAAAAGCAGAGTTAACGTTTCGGGTCTGGTGACCCTTCCTCAGAACACTGCGACCCGAAACGTTAACTCTGTTTTTTCCTTCACAGATGCTGCCAGGC